AAGAGCCGACAGAGACAGCCAGTTATGGCTCTCTTAAAGTGACCTTATTGAGAGGGTCTATATCCCCAAAAGGTCCCGCCTAGTCCTGACTCCTATACATTCGACATACTCTAAACCCTAAACTCTAAACCTAAACCCTAAACCCTAAACCCTGAACCCTAAACCCTAAACCCTAAACCCTAAACCCTAAACCCTAAACCCCAATCCTAACACGTGTTATATTTCAACATGTTCCTGCAAGAAACGGCGCTTTTCAGAGCTTCGGTTGCCACATAGCAACTCGCATACGTGCGACCTTACAGAGCCAACCCTAAAAACCCCTAAACCCTAAAACCCTAAACCCTAAAACCCTAAACCCTAAACCCTAAAACCCTAAAGCCCTAAACCCTTACAACCTTAAATCCTACACCCCAAAATCCTAAAACCCTTAAACCAAAACACCCTAAACCCTCAAACCCTAAACCCTCAAGCCCTAAACCCTCAAACCCTAAACTCTCAAACCCTAAACTCTATGTCAGGAAATCAGAGTAAGGAGCCCTCAGTGGGTTGTTTAAGAGTTCCAAGCTCATCCCTACACCCTAAACCCTCATCCCTTAAACCCTACCTTAAGAACCCAAGACCCATTTTTGTAGGTTCTTATTATAAACCCTAATATGGGATTTATAGGGACCCTACAAAAAAGTAGGTTTTGGGTTCTTAAGGTAGACCCTAAACCCTTAAACCCTTGAGCCCTGAACCTTATACCTCAAACCCTAAACCTCAAGCCTGAAACCCTTACACCCTCAATCCCTCAAGCCCTAAACCTTAAACGGTAAAGATTATACCTTAAACCCTAACCCTTACAGCCTTAATCCCTCAAGCCCTGAACCTTAAACCGTAATTAAACTTTATACCTTTGTTAAAGCCTGAACCTTAAACCCTTACACCTTTGACCCCTCAAGCCCTAAACCTTAAACCGTAAATCCAACTCAGAGGTCATCGCCCGGATCAAAAGAGGGCCTGGGCACGCCATGTTGGAGCCAAGCAGTGCATGTGGGTCTCAACTTTTTTGGGTTTTTGGTTCCTTCCTTTAAAGGGATCTATCGTAGAGAAGGGTTGCTACAAAGGAAACCCGATCTATCGTAGAGAAGGGTTGCTAGAAGGGGAACCCTTTACTGCGATCTATTGTGGATAAGGGATGATAAGATCTGTATAAGGGTTATTATAACTAACGGCTCTAAGATTCTAGGAGGTTCCCAGATCTTCCTGTGAAACAGCCTAAACCCTACACCCTTGAGTGAGGCCCCTTTCGGGATCTAAAAGCCAGCCGATGATCACAGAGGCATGTTGCGTTTGACTGCCCAGTTTCTTGAGCATAACGCCCTATATATCTCCTGCATAATTAGGGGCACGATTCCCTAAGGTTTCCCGAATATATTCAAGGCTTGCAAGCATTCAACCCCACGAACCGAAAGCCCTGGATGCCCTAAGCCACGTAAAAATCCGAGCCCAAGCCCTAAACATAAAGCCCTCTACGGTGTAGGCTTTTGGATTGTCTCCAAGTGTGTCGGATTGAAAGCTCAGGGCTAGGGCGCTGTTTAGGGTTTAGGGTTTAGGGTTTAGGGTTTTGGTTTAGGATTTGAGGTTAAGGTGGGGCTGTTGTGGATTTGAAAGTAAGCGCCCAGAATTGGGATTTACGTTTGGGGCTTGGGTACTTACCTAAGCGGGCGAGGGGTTTAGGACTTAACCCAAACCTCAAGACCGTGAAGCCCTAAAACCTCTAACCTGAACGCCGTGTGGGTCTCTGTTGTCGTGGTGGCGGAGCTCTCCGAGGCCGGTTTTTCCCTCGGTTGACATCTGACTGGGGTGACGCATCTTTCGTGCCAGGAGGTTCCAAGTCGCAGTCGGGCAAAGCCCCGGAGTGGAGTGTAGCTGCGGTTTCTTGGTTTTCTGACAGACAGAGTTTTTATATGCTTGGCGGATCAGATCCGGTGGCTAACGCCACAATCATCCGCTTCCTGCGGCTGGGGGTTTCATGCCCCCCTTCGCTGCACCCCGTACAATATGCCGGTCAGTGAACTCCGGCCGGAGGATCAGACACTGAGATTTTGCTGGCATGAATGGAGCGACAGCTACCGGGCAGCCCACCGGTGAGGAATTGGAGAATGCGACATTTGCGATGGAGAGCTCGGTGTTTGGGTGAACTTATAGCCGAAGTTGGAAGGGTAGTAGGGGAAGTTAGGGCAGGCTTGCTTCGGTTCATTGGGCTTTGGGTTTCATTAGGGCTCAGGTGTTGGTTGCTATGGGTAGTTCTCTCTAGATTAAGGTCCCTTCTATGGTCCTTCTTCAAAAGGGTGCCGTATTATTTTGGGGACCTAACAGGCACCCTAACATAGAGAACTCTACACCCAAAACCCCGAAACCCCAAACCGTGGGAATTTAGGTTCCGGGGTTGAGGCTGACCCGGGTAACCACAACTTTACGAGTCGCCGAATGGTTGTCTACCAGGAATACCCAAAACAAGTATATACAGCTCAGTCTCAAACCTAGGTTTTAGGAGTTTAGGGGTTTAG